ACCTGGCACACAGAAAGTGCTCAATATGAGTAAGCTATTTTATCACTATTGTTGTTTCTGTTATTGTTTATTCATACAGTCATTGACATCTGCCAAGATGATGTCAAAATCTAGATGAAAGAGAAAACTAAGCCAACAATACAGTAATCAAAAAGAGCAATGGGACTGGGCGCAGTGGCTCATGCCTATAATCCCACCACTTTGGAAGGCTGAGTTGGGAGGATCACTTGAGCTCAGGAGTTGCAATATAGTGAGACTGCCATCTCTACAAACATTTAAAAATTAGCTGGGCACAACAGTGCATGCCTGTAGTCCCAGCTACTTGCGAGGCTGAGACAGGAGGTTGCAGTGAGTCATGACTGTACCACTGCACTCCAGCCTGGGCAGTAGAGTAAGACCCTGTCTCAAGGGGAACAAAAAGGGCAATGGTAGAGGACAGTAACGCTGAATGATATGCTTTGGTGTAAACAATGTGATATTAAATATAAAAAATATTTTAAAATCCATCAAATATTTACAATCTTGTGACTTAAAACATATACAAAAAACCACAAGACAATCATAAAGGTATCAACTGAGTATTAATAAGTACAGTACTACATATATACAACATTACAAAGAGTTTTGAAAATGCTCTGACTGGAAATCACGGAAACCACATCAGGACACTAAATTGTACTAAAATGAAAATGAGTTGGAGTTAACGTTATCTCACTATTTCTATGTAGAAATGGTAGGCGGGGTGTGGTGGCTCATGCCTATAACCCCAGCACTTTGGGAGGGTGAGTCAGGTAGTTCACGAGGTTAGGAGTTTGAGACCAGCCTGGCCAACATGGTGAAACCCTATCTCTACTAAAAATACAAAAATTAGCTGGGCATTCTGGTGGGTGTCTGTAGTCCTAGCTACTCGGGAGGCTGAGGCAGGAGAATCACCTGAAACCCAGAGGTGGAGGTTGCAGTGAGCTGATGCACTCCAGCCTGGGCGACAAAGAAAGACTCCATCTCAAAAAAAAAACAGAGAAACAAATGGTAAAGCATGAGTTCCTTGAGGGTAAATAACTAAATCTCTACATGCACCCTCACTTAACAGATAATGCCTATAGTAAAAGGGCACATCAACGAATCAGTGGGCCATTAACCAAACAGTTCAAGTCTGAGAAGTCCAAAGCATCTTTCTATTTTTATTTTTAACAGGCAAGGTCTGAGCCCAGAGTGCAGTGCCATGGCACCATCATAGCTCACTCTAATCTCAAACTCAAGCAATCCTCCCAACTGGCCTCCTGAGGCTCTAGGACTACAGACAGACCCCCACACCCAGTTTTGTTTTGTTTTGTTTTGTTTTGTTTTGTTTTGTTTGTAGAGATGGGAGTCCTGCTATGTTGCCCAAGCTTGTCTTAAACTTTTGATGTGAAGTGATCCTCCTGCTTGAGCCTCCCAAAGCAATGGGATTACAGATGTGAACCACTGTGTCCAGCCCAAGGCACCTTTTGCAGGTTTTTCCCACCACCGTCACATCTGTTTAATTTCTCTTCTATCCTGATAAGCTGCACAAAAAAAGTTCAAGAAGTATGCATATTTATTCATTCTTTCATGGAATCCAGAAATTCAACAGTGTCTGTTCAAATAAGGCCATCTTTCAAAGAGAAATACATGAAATAGACATAAAATATCTTTAACTTCAGACCATTATGAAATTATATCATGTTAGTTTACAAGACGAAAGGATACGCTTCCTCCTGGAAAAGATCTACTCTACCATGATTAGCAGCCCGGGAAGGGGATTACAAACAGGAAGGCAGGGGGCCCATTGTCCTTTACTTTGTACCCAGGACAAGACCACAGTGGGAAAATGGCCTAGAAAGCTTTGGCCTTAAGAAAGACTCATTTGGCAGACTTTCTTGGACATTTATTCCCCGCACAAAATCAAAATGGCAAAGAAGAAAGAGAGAAAAAAGGAAAAGTGCATTCATATCTGGTCTTGAAAAGGAAACAGTCTGTTCTAAGCCTTAAAAGCTGTACTTAATTGGATAAATTTTGGAAAAACACTCATCAGAGCAGAGCAGCACACAGTCAAAATCTAGCCTCTGTCTCAGATTCACAATCAGTTCTGATTTTTATTTACCAAATGCTGAAATTATTTTTAATCAAAAATGTTCAGATCTTTATACTAAAGTAACTCTAAAAATTAAAAACTTAGAAGTATTTCTAACTTAGAGCATGGAATTTCAAAACAGACATTCTGTATTTATCTTATATTAGTGTAATGCAAAAAACACTAGTTTCTGTTGAAGCTACATTTGATTCAACAAGTTTTAAAAGGAAAGCTTGATGACAAAAATAAAAATATAGTGTGTTAAGACTTTGCTTAGCAAAACCTATCCAATGTTTTTAAATTTATGTT